CACTGCGTACCATCCACAGTCGAATGCAAGCGAAAGAGCAAATCAGGAGTTGTACAAGTACCTGCGCGCATTCACCTGCTATTCACAAGACAATTGGATGGAACTGTTGCCTGTAGCCCAACTGGCATTAAACTCACGACCGAGCTCAGCGATTGGGGGACTGAGTCCGTTTTTCCTTCGACACGGATATGAATTAGAACCTCTGACAGAACCCACGCCTATCTCGGAAAATGGTTCTCGACACCCAGGACGGCTATCTGCCCAAGACTACGTAAAAAGGCTAAGGGATGCCCAAGACTTTGCACAGGCAGCGATGGCTTCAGCCCAGCAGCGAAACGAGGTGAATGCAAATCGGTTTCGGAGACAACCAGATAAATTCAAAGTTGGTGACAAGGTTTGGCTAGATCTCCGGAATGTGAAAACGCCTCAACTATCCAAGAAGCTAGCCTGGCTTCATGCGAAGTACGATGTGACCGCAGTTCCAGACCCTTTAACTGTAGAGTTGAATGTCCCAGGGAATATCCACAACCGCTTTCATGTTGAGCTGGTGAAGCGAGCAGGTGTGGACCCCTTTCCGAGTCAGCAGCAGGACGATGCTCAAAATCCCGCTATTCTTGACGACCTAGGCGAGAAAGAATACGAAATCGACTCTATAATACGGGCAAGAACAGTGAGACGTGGACGTGGTAGTTTCAGGCAAGCTCTAGTAAAGTGGACTGGATGGGCAGAGCCAACATGGGAACCAGTTGAGTACGTCGCAGACACAGAGGCTCTAAAGATATTTGAGGACACCTACGGTCCTATAACTATAAATAACGGCCCTTCAGAGAGTAATTCGGGCAGATACGTTGGTCAGGCTGAGCCTCACATCCAAAAAACGCGGAGGGAACGACGAAAAAAAAAATATATATAAAATAAAAATCATATATAATTTAACAAGTAAAATATCTTCCCCTTCAGGAAAAGAAGGGGGATTGTAACGGCTGTTAAGCCTAGGGATTCCTGTAGCCTACGCTGGCTAGCGCAGGCAATGAATGCAAGGGAATCTTCGGGAAGGATCTCGGAATACAAGGAGCTTAGAAGATTCTCAATGAACTTTCTGGAAGCATACTGAAGGTTCATGAGGACCACAGGTGTATCAAGAATCTTCTAGGGTATTGTCGAGGATTCCATGTTATTCCAGATATAGGGAGAACCTTACAGAAGAGGAGTATCTCAGAGTGTATATATATTTGTATTCTAGCTATAGGAATTCTCTCTCTAGAGAATTATAATTAATATACCGTACTTACAAGATCGCCCAAGCATTTTGTACTGAAACCGTGACATTAGGCAGATGATAGGTATATCCTGGGTGATCCTTTGTTGCGTTCTTTTGTTTATTCCACAGAGGTTCTTGAACAAGAACCACGTTGATACCCAGCTCAAATGCTCGGGCAAGCGTAATATTTTGCGTTGAGCCCCCTCTACCTACGTTTATTGACATAAAGCTTAGAGTAGGAGAGAGGCTTGAAGAAACCTGTGGGGTGCCCTTCACAAATATTTTTGCTGATTTGATGCCTCATCAACCTCGGCTACAGTTGCTTTAGCGTCGGACATGAGAACTTCAAAACAGTTGCTCGATTTGAAACCTACCTGGTTAGTATTTGACGCTTCTGCGGCTGCTGTCATCGCTGCCTCTGCGCGTTTGACAGCTGCTTTGGCCCGAGTGACTGCTGCAAATTCGCGTTGGCTAGCCTGCCTTATGGTCTGAAGGTTTTCCCTGGAGGCCATTCCAGACTTTGTTGGACTAGCTAGACAGTCCCGACTATCTGACCTGTGTGGACCTCCGCAGTTGCGGCACTTGGTGTGTGCCTTGCACTCCGCAATGGAATGCATAGTTGAAGTACAATTCCAGCAGGCTGGGGCACGCGAGCAGCCCCTAGTGCCATGAAAATGTAGGCATCTTTTGCACTAGTTAATGCTTTGACAAGGCTGGTGGCAGACTGCAATCCCAAAGTCGTCGAAAAGTCAGAAACCTGGCCGAGGAATTGATGCTTTTTCAAAAAGGGCCACCCATGACTGGTATGGGGCGCCCGGTCGGCTTTTCCCATCTGGGCGAACTTTTACCGGAACAGCCTTGGTGACCCTGACTATCTCGTCTGTTACCATCTCTTCAGTGACAATAACTCTACCCATTATTGTATTAATGGCAACTGGGACTGTTGCAATTCTAAGTGAGCCCAGGTCCAATGCCTCTTCCAGTATGGCATCTTGCTGGATGAGTGTGACAGAAACCGAGTTGGTAATGAATAAATCGATTTATTAAACTATATGAAGAGGAAAGAAATCTCTAGCTACTACTAACAGGTACTTATAACGTTTCGTCCGCTTCGTGAATCTGCTGACTGATAACTTCCCCCTAGGCCTAATACTTGCTACTGAGCCAAGTATTATCAGGAGCCATTACGCTATGATGTTGCTTCGACCTCCTGGCTAGTAGTGCTATTTCATCTCTATTTGCCCATCCTTCCTCTTTCAGTCTTATCGTAATTATTCCTAATTAAACGCTTAGGTTTCCTCCTAAGCTAAAACAACGGTCAAACCGTAACAATGAGGGACCCAGCTAGGCTTAACATGATGGCGCGTGCCTCTTGGTTTTCGGCTCTAATTGCAAAGCCAGTTGGAACACAGTATATGTGCTCAATATTGGCTTGAGGAATTTCAAGCACTTTTGCCACAGCCTCTCTAACACCAAACGGTGATAGCTTTCTCCAAGGGTGTTCATTTCCAAGGCGAAGAAACAAGCGTTCATCATTGGTGCCTGATTGCATTGGGACGGTCGGGTTTTTTGAAGGTCGCGTCGAGTTTGCCGCCTTTGGCATAGCCTGTGCGACTTTTGTAGCTGCCGGGGGAGTCTTTATACCGGTGCAGGTGATTGAGGTCCAAGTGGTCTTGGCCTGGGAGACTTTGTCATGAGTCACTTTACTTTGTGGCTCATCCTGCTTTTTGGCGGCACGTTCTATAATCTTGCTGCCAGTAGCCTGGGTTTCAGGGCGCGAGGGAAATACTGGGAGGACTGTACCCGATCCCGATATCATGAATTGAGCTATTGCAGCTCTAATGTAGACTTTCATAGAGTCTATAAATTGAACACTCGACCCTTTGGATAGGGGGGAGAGAGCATTCTCGATACTGTTTATTGCAGCGGTGCAAATTTTTACATTTTCCGCAGTTTTTGCGGCCCGGCGTTCCTCAGCCTCAATTAAGGCTCTGAGTTCGGGGGGGCATTCCTCCGTCTGCCTACCTTCATTTCCACCGTGAGGAGAAGGATTCTCTTCTGTGGTTCCTGGTGTATGTTCCAGGGGGTTCGGGGTAGATGCTGCACCTTTTGCCTTGTTAGCATCTGCAATCACAGCCCGCCTCACAGCCGGCACAGCGACTTCAATGAGAGGAAGTATATGCTATCCGGTAGTCGCTGTCCCTAAATTGTTGCGACTCGTCGCTGCATTTTCAGCTCCGGTCGCATCTGGCTTGGAGTGAATTGAGTTAGGTAGTCTTTTCAGATTCTTAAGAATCTTGTCAATGTCAAAGTTGCCAACATCTATCATATCGCAATCTATGGTACTTTCGTCGATTAATTGGTCGATGTTCATCTCTTGAACGGCAGTCAGTGGGCCCAACTTGACGCTTGCTTTCTGTCGAGCAACGTGTTTGAGGTGCTTGCGGTTATCTACGATGTCTTTCGCCCGCGATGGTTTACTGCGAACTGGGGGCATATTGGTAGCCTGCCAGTCGCTCACAAATTTTGAATTAAGGGCGTACGATATCACGATATCGAGAGAGAGAGGGAGAGGGGGAAAGGGTGAATATTCGAAAATTCGAATTTCAAAAAATTGTGTGGGTGTGGTTGATGTTTTATTTTACTACTCGAGTCTATGACTATCTAGCAAATCGAGCTCCTCTCTGACCCAGGCCACACTTCGTACAGTGCTCCTATCCTCCTTTCTTGCTTCAAAGATCATTGATATACTGATCAGAATGAATAGTCATTCAGCTCAGTATTTACCCATGGATTTCAGCTACCCTTTCTACGGAACCTTGCGCCGAAAAAAATAAAAATGGTAGTGTTGGAAACTGCGTGCGCGGGAGAAAGTCTCAAAGAATCTGCAGACCCAGCTAAGTGAGGCCTAAACACCGGGTCCACATGAGTTACGCATATTCATCTACATCTCCCTTCTTTATAACATTCGAGGCCGACTTGATCCAATCCAACATCTCCCTATCGGGTGCTTGATACGCTCCGGAAACTCATCGGATGGATTTTCCTCCATGATCAAGAGTTGGTAATGAAAAGGGCTTTGACCCTGACATATGATCTGAGAGTGGTTAACTTCATGATAGTGGTAATAGTGGTAATAGGGGGAAGTGATGAGAGATGAAGACGATATAGACCGCGAAAGCGATTGGGAATCCTCGTTAAAGTGAGGACTTTGTTACTCAATCTCGGCTCTACAGACTCTGCAGTGAGAGCTGGAGGTTCGTAGGGGACACCACTGACAGCTGTTGAGAATAATCTCCAAGTTTCACGCGCGCCGCCGAGCGTGTGATAAAATTGGCGGGAGATTCATACCTAACAGGCTTTCTGTTCCTACTGGGAGGCATGCCGTTTTGGAGTCTGAGTCCCTGTTGATGGGATGGCGCTTACTTTCTGAAGCGTGAAATCACGGCTGTCTCACCTTCGCTAGGTATCATCGGACAAAAATCCGTAGAACATGCCTAGAAGATATCGACAAGAAAACTTCATGAACTTGTATGATCCATTTTAAATATCGCTAGACGCACCGAACCCCGAAATAAGTGTGGTGATCGCAAAGAGTACTGATGACTTGGAAGAGAGCGTGCGTCGGCATGAGGCTGGGACTCGTCTCCCATCTTATAGCTGTATAAGGCTGAGTGTGTAGGCGCATCTTTAATAAACACCCTCTCCAGCATCTCGAAATCAGCTTGAAGGTTGTAACATGGTCAAAGAACGTTCAATAAACCCAGCTCAGGCGCAGAGAAAAGCCGAAAAAGCCAAAGCTATCAAGAAGGGTGTGTAATTCACAAGCGCTGGCACATCCTCGATGGCTGACCTTATCGTCTCTAGGCAAAGCCGAGGCAGCGCTCCGACGCAACGAGAAGCTAGCTCGGCGCAACCCTGATCGCCTGCAAAGGCAACTTGATGATCTCAAAGCACTTGATGACAGTGGTACTGCACTTACGAGCCACGAGAAAAAATTACGAGAGTCGCTGGAAAAGGAAATACGAGCTGTACGTCAGGCCCGGGAAAATTTCGGCGACGTCACCTCCAAGCTTGGGCGAGGGACACAGCAATCTGAAGTTGATAAGAAAAAATATATTCAACTCCACAAAAACTCCGAGATCCCGGGAAAAAGAAAGAGGGAAGACGAGAGCAGTGATGATACTGACGTACCCGAAGATGTCAAAGATATTCCCATGCCAAGGGACACGCCGCCACCGATTCCAAAGGCAGCGTTAGATAAATGGTATGACAAACAGAGAGCACGGAAATTGGGAGCGCCTAATCAAGCAAGAAAAGCATCCAATGCGAATTTACTGCCAGTCAGTGACAAGAGGCGAATGTTAGGCCGTGCTGGCCACATTTCTGATTCCTCGTCTATTCCTACTCCACAAATTGCTGCCCAGATAGTTTACGAATCAAAGCCCATCGTCCGAGACTTACTCAAAGAAGCTGTTGCCTTTGTTCCTACGGCAGTGAAAGCGAAATTAGATAGATCAAAAGGGATACGGACATTAGTTGAGCCGGAAGAAGCAGATCAGTTGGAAAGAGAAGGCTATCGGACCAAAGCCGAAGTTCTGCGGGAAACTTCGACACATAATATCTTAGGTGACGTAATATAACTTTTGAATGGCTTTTATTCAGAAAGAATACTGAGCCAATTGACACTTTAACACCAAAATCCCAAGAGACCAATAGAATAAAATCCCTATTCCCTGTAGTATCTGGGACTAAATAACAAGGTAATAAGTGTCCCTTAGACATTTGAAAAAATTGAGTAAATAAAAATTCTGGCCATTATACTAAGGATTGCCAAAATTATGCCTACATGGTTCAAATTCCAGGGATTCATGGAGTACTCGTGCAACTCATAACCCATTGATTTTGGGATAGTAGATTATTGGTATTCACATCAATTATGATGATCCGTGACAATTTTTAAGGAAATAATGACCCCTCAGTCATTGAGGTTGTAGAGCGCGTTGATTCAAGTGATTACCAAAGTGAAACTAAGTACAAAATCTGCAGTCACGTGTGTCTCAACAACGTGGCCTACTTGATAGCCCCAATTATTCTAAATTCTACACATTCATATATCCACTTACTCTTATATCATTTTTCTCCATTTATTACAGCATTTTTGTTTGGACATCGCGCTCGCGATGGCCAAATCGCAACATCCACCTCCCTTGGCCCAGCGCGTCGCTGATGAACTCGACCTTGTCCAACGTGTGGCAAAGAGTAGAGCTACCTGGGTTCAAAACTTTCACAACAAGTTCTGGTCAGCCGTTGAAGAGGCTGATCCTCTCATCAAAACCTTCGTGCGCGAGCAAATGGACGCGTTTCTACTTGCGGTTGCCTCCGGGCACCCTATGCGACACGATAATCCAAGACAACCCAAGACGGCAAGCCCCCTTCCCAAGCCCAGCCAAATTCTACCATCACGACCTCCCGTCCCCATCTCAAAGCAACCTCAAAGCTGGGCAGCGACCGCCGCCGCCCCTCCTGCCACCAATCCCCCTACTCATGCGTCGTCCTCGGCCCCTCCCAACGCAAAACACCGTCCTTTTTACACGCCAGCTCCTAAACAGGCTGCATCCACCACTGGCCTCAAAGCCATCTTTCGTCTCTCGGAGGATGCTCCACTTCTCAGAGCAGACGCAACTTCAGTCAAGGCTGCTTTCATTCGCATTGTTCCTGGGCTCAAGGACGGCATAGTCTCCGTTTCTCGCAGCTCAAATGGATTCATCATCTCGTTTTCGTCCGACACATCGCGGAAACTGGCGTTGGATAACGCTGACTCGATAAAGGCGTCTCTTTCTGGATCCCTTTTTCAAATTGAGGACCGCATCGGGTACGTTGTCAAGCGTATCCCGCGCACTATCTGGAACCCGGTTTCCAACGTGGTCCCCACTACACTTGACGATGTCAAAAGTATTGCCCAGGCTCAGACAGGCGTCACTCCATCTGGCGCCCGCTGGTCGTTGCATGAAGATTGTCATGATCCTCTGCACACAGCGGTCATCTTCTTCCCAAAAGAAGTGTCGACTTTTCGGATTGTTGACAGCGCCCCTTCTCGACGCTACATTCCTAATCCAAAGGTAGTTCAGTGCGACGCGTGCTTTGGCTTCCATCCTTCTTCTCGGTGCCGCACTCAAGCTTTGTGCTCCCTTTGCGGCGCTCTTCGTCACCGTGGTGAGTGCTGCCACCAACGCCGATGTATCAACTGCCTCGGGCCACATTCCGCAGACGACCATAAGTGCCCTCTCCGCCCCCGCCCCTTCAAGGGCAAACTTATCAATCCTTCAGAAAAAACCATTGCGGAACTCCGATCCCGTAACCGTATTAATCTCCGGAAGGAACGCCGCGCAGAGGCTGCTGCCGCTGCCGCTGCCGCTACCGCTACTGCTACTCCTACTGCTTCCTCAGACGGCGGCTCCGGCGCGCCGAATCCTTCCACTGAGGCCTCCTCCTCCTCTTCTCAACGTGCACCTGCATCCACACAAAACCGTTTCACGTCATTAACATCTGCTTCGGATGGATCTATGGAAATAGACCTAGTCGAGCGTGACACCAGTCTCGCCTCCAACAGTACTTCTCATGAGCAGTAGAGCTTATTTCAGGAGCACCCCCCCGCCTCGGCTCCGTTTCCTTCAAGCAAACGTTGGGCGCGGTGGATCATCTCACCTCATTCTTTTACAAGCTGCATTTCAGGGAAAGTATGATGTGATCTTTGTTCAAGAGCCTTGGACAAAAACAATAAATCTCAAGAATGTGACCAAGTCTCATCCTGCATACGTCACCTTCACTCCTCCTAACCGGGACTGGAAAAATGCGCGCCCGCGCGTTCTGACCTATGTCCGCAAAAAGTCCTACCTTCGACCTGTCCAGTTAGATTCTGGTCACTCACCTGACATCATCGCCCTTCGTCTCCAGAGCTCTCCCCTCATAGAGATCATCAACGTCTACCGACAACCTCAAGCTCACATGCCCGAGAGCCTATGCACACTCCTAAAGTGGCCGGTTAAACCAAACACCATAATTGTGGGAGACTTCAATCTTCACCACGAACTGTGGGAGCCCAACGTGTCCCGTTCGTCCGGCGTCAGCACCCTCATCGAATGGATTGACGTTCATTCACTGAGGTCGGCAGTGCCTTACGGAGCTCCCACCCATCGTGCCGGCCATGTCCTTGACCTTGTACTCACGAACATGGAAGGACTCTCAGCCCGTGTGGCTCCGGAGGCACATTCAACTTCTGACCACGAGACGATCGCCGGTTTCGTTCAACTCTCGCCATCTCAAAGGCGCCATCCACCGCTAAAGCTGCCCAACTTTAACAGCGAGAATGCCGAAGTGTTTCGCCAGGCGCTCTCCGCTACCGCACCTCCCAGCTTTCCTCTTGAAGACCCTTCACCTCAGCTCTTAGACACGGTGACTACATCAGGCATCGCCACTCTCTCGGCAATCCTGCTTTCAGCTAACCCGCCAAGGCCCGCGTGCGTCCCATGCAAAGATTATTGGAATCACGAATGCTCAGACTACCGCCGTCAATATCTTGAATCACGCCACAGCGGGGATCAAGACCTCATTAGCGTGGCTCATAAAAACTTCCGGAAAGCTGTCAGACGAGCCAAACGGGAACATATGCGAGCCAAATTCGATAACGTGTCTTCGATTATGGAGGCCCATAGAGTTGTCGGTTGGCGCAAGCTAGCTAGTCGATTTGGTCCCCCTCCAATTCTTTTTCAGGGTGTCACATACAGCACCCCCACTGAGCGTGCGGAAATATTCTTTCGCACTAAGCTTGCCCGCGCAACTAGCCAACCGGATGTCCCCTTGGACACTCCTACATGCTCTCTGCGTGCGATCCCCGCACCTCTCTCCGTAGGTGAAGATGAGGTACGTAACTGTCTCCTGGAAGTTTCATCAACAACCCCGGGTCATGATCATTTATCGGTCTCAGCTCTCCGCCTTGTTTGGGGGGTGGATTCATGGCGCTCGTGGATTGTTCACCTCTACAGTCTCTGTCTGGCTTATGGTCACCATCCCAGTATTTTCCGCCGCGCCGAAGTGGTGATTATCCCCAAGCCACACAAGGATGACCTCACCAACCCCGCTAACTGGAGACCAATCTCGCTTCTCCCAGCCCTCGGCAAAGGGCTGGAACGCCTCATCGCAAGACGCCTTGCTTTCTGGGCCTTGTCGAATCGAGTTATCTCCCCAACGCAATTCGGAGCGCTTCCTGGAAGGTCCGCCATGGATCTCGTTGAATGTCTAGTTCACGATGTCGAAAAAGCATGGGAGGCAAAGCAGGTCTGCACTCTTGCCACCCTCGATATTCAAAGTGCTTTCGATAGCATCCAACCTGGCCGCCTCTTCGTCCGTCTTCGCGAACAGGGATGGCCTTCAGCATATGCTAATTGGGCCGCATCCTTCGCCTCTCATAGAAAAGCTCGCCTCAGAGTGGACGAATACGTCGGCGACTTCTTGGATATTCCGCACGGACTGCCTCAAGGGTCCCCCGCATCCCCTATACTTTTTCTTCTCTTCCTCGAGCCCTTATTCAAACTCGGGTTTCCTACTTTTGGTTACGTTGACGACGTGGCGATCCTTTCGGTCTCAAAATCTCTGGTCGATACTTCTCGTTTGACTGCCAACAGGATTGAAAGCATCACCCGCTGGTGCGGTCAGAATGGACTCTCTCTGGCAGAAAGCAAGACGGAGCTACTGCATCTTCATAGATCCCGCCAGCCTCCTTCTCCGGTAGCTATCAACGGCGTCTTAATGACCGCCAACCCAACTTTGAGGTGGCTAGGCGTCTTCCTTGACACGAAGCTCTCTTTTAAAAGACATGTGCAAGAATGGAGCGCCAAGACGCAACGGGTCAGTGCCCACATACGGCAGCTTGGTAATACCAACCGTGGTGTACCCACATCCTTTCTGCGCACTGCAGCCCTGGCTGCGGCGCTCCCTGTACTTCTGTACGGCGCTGAGGTTTGGTGGCGTGGCCATACCTACAACCGCCGCGGCCGCCTCACTTCTACCCGGTCTCAACACCTAGTAACCACGGTGTCTCGAGTTCTAGTCAACTTGGCTAGAGCAATTCTTCCGGTATACAAAACTACTCCGATTGCAGCATTATTGAGAGAGGTTTGGCTCAAACCTGCACATATTCTTCTTGAGGAGAGGCGCCTCAACTCCGCCATTAAATTAGCCGCCGCCGACGACTTTCACCCTGTTGCTAAAAGATCTAAGGAGCCCCGCGCGCATACTCGTCTGACGGAAAAATTACTGCTCGTTTCTCCTTTTCCCCGCCCTCGGCTCGTACCTTCCTCGTACCGAGCCTCTTCAATCCTTACCCGGGCTGACCTCTCCCTCGAAGCTTTTTCCCGTCGTATTGGCGAGTTACCACCTTGGGACATCCTTGTCTTCTCGGACGGCTCCAAACAAAAAGATGGATCTGCTGGGGCAGGTGCCGTCGTTATCCATAAGGGAATCACCCTAGCAGAGGTTAAAATTCCGCTAGGCCCCGACTTTGAGGTTTATGACTCCGAAGTCATCGGCGCCCTTGCAGGGCTCAAGGCTGCTATAGCGGCTCCCTCTATCCACTTGGCTACCAACATCCACGTCATCTTAGACAACCAAGAGGCAGTTCGACGTCTTCTTGATGCATCACCCTCGAAAACCTCGCAGCAAGAAATTCTTGAGTTTCGACTTCTCGCCTCCAAGTGGCCCACTCGGAGAATTTCACCAATTGCAGCTCCTGGTAAGGTTCACGTGATGTGGTCTCCTGGCCACGTCGGCATCCCTGGGAACGAGCTAGCAGACAAGCTAGCTGGAGAGGCGGCCCGCCAACCGGCTCCCCTCGCCGCATCTCTCGCTGGAGCCCGCGCAAAGACCAAAAAGCACATTTGGGATCTGACTTCTGCATGGTGGCAAAACCAAGCGCCGTCAACATATTGTGAATTGGGGATGCCGTTTCCCAAAAAGCCCCCCGAAGAGCTCCGTCTCCCCCGCCGGAATCTTGGGTATCTCATTCAATGCAGAACCGGACATGGCGATTTCCGTGCGTACCACAATAGGTCTCAACATGGAGATGCCCTCCTGACTTGCTCTTGTGGAGGTAACAAGTCAGTCACCCATTTAGTTTTTTGCCCTCTCGTTCGAAAGAGATTGGCCTCCAATGGTCACCGTCAAAGCTTGGGCACACTAGCTTTTCTCCTCGGCACCTCCCGTGGTGCTAAGCGTTTTTCTATTATATTGGAGAGGAGTGGGTTTCTGTCAGAAATCTGCCCAACCCGTGCCAATTAATCAACCTTTGTGAGGGATATGCTGCACAGCGCTCACAGTAACTTATCTAGTTTGTGTATAGGCTTGATCGCCTCCCATAGGGTGGAAAAGAATGTAGAATATAATAGTCACCGTGTCCCCCCAGGGATGGGGCTGTAGTCTTTTGATATTGCCCGGTAGACCTGTTAAAAATAAATAAATAAATAAAATAAAAATAAATAAATATTCTAAATTCTAACAGCAATACTAAATCGGCAATATCGGTGTTATTAGTTTCGCAGTAAGTTTTATACATCGCAAATCACATGTCTTTCAAATAGGGCTCAAATTATCTCAGTACGGAGTACATCCTCTATATCTCATATAATGAAAGGAATCAAGGAGTAGTGAAGATATTGATCAGCACGATGAGGATTGTTAATAGGCCTGCAACTCAAAACAACATCCAAGTACTAGTTAGGATGGAGGCCTATCAATGCAAGGCACTTTCATCTATTTAGGGGGCGCCTACTTAGCACCTATACCAGTTTTTCACTCATAGATTCAATTAAATTGGCGTCCTTACTATTTTCCCATATCTGAATGTTTTTCATGTGTGCTAATACATGGATGAAGCTTCATACGATCACTAATTTAGGAGTACTTGAAAAGATATGGAGCGAAATTTTAGGTGGCCATAATTGCTCTTAAAATTGACCACAATTATTGTGGACTTGTGCACCTGTTAGTGCTTAAGCCGTCCTTAACGACGGGATGTGGGGCTTTAAACGTTATTTCCCATCCTCTGCGCTATTTCTCTCTATCTTCTTTCAAAAAAATTACCCTCACCCTTGCTATTCCACCATCCGTACCCATCCGTTTGATGAAGATTCCGTACGCCCCTTAAAATCCATACTTGTGGCCGAAAGTTCTAATATACTGCGTAGTAGGAATTACTTGTTTGAGAAGCATTTTCCGTAGTATTTTGGTGAATTTGTGTTCGCGGAAGCATTTCCTCCGGTAAAGGCTGAAAATATTAGTCTGCAACGTGTAATAAGACAACGCCATATTCCTGATGCAATATACTAAGAACGAAGGCAAGGATAAGATTTCTCATAGTTGATCAAGTAGGTTTTGTGGCTGATTATTAGTCTTATGCCTATCTTTACACCAATCGGGGTTCACATTAGGTCATCGATATGACCTCAATGTTCAAGGCCGAAGTCGTAACTTTTGACGTTCGATAAAACATCGTAAAGAAGTGTAGGGGCTGAACAACGTTTGGAAAGCCATATCTGGTCCATTCATGGATTGCTCCAAGGACCCCTAGGTATTGGGTGGGGTGCCTAGGTCTCGGGTGCTCGTACGCAATTAAACATTATAGCGAAGTCGTTTTGTAAACATTTTTGGAGTCAAGCATTCATGTATTCCTGACGGTTTATCTCACACCGATTGGCGGTCGGGGTCCAAAGCTGCTCTGACTGCTGTTAGCAGATGGTTCAGAGTCAATGTTCGCGCTATCGCCACTCGCTGCGCTAGCACTCGCACTACCCGTCAAACTCCGAAAATTTACGGGGCCCTTAGGTGGATGGAGGGCGCTCACCCCAGCATATTGCTCTACTTGATGCGGTGCAACCAAGTTCGCTTGTCCAGGCGGATGCCTAGGAACGGGCTGTCGTACGGCGCCCGGAGGAGAGGTTCTATCATTTCCTGGTGGACCCATTTCCCCATTAGATGGAGAAGGTCTTCTGCTTCCCCCCCTGCCCGCTCCTAACCCGTACGGGTTCCCTGGTGAGTTACTCGTCCTTCTTTGATAATGGCCACCAACATTCGTTGGCACATTACCGGTACTCTGTAGCTCATCCAGTCTCGCCGCAGTAAGGGAATTCGACCTGGATTCAAGACCCATTTGTGCGCGATCAACGTTACCATAGCGATTAGACGAATATCCAAGGAGAGGGTCATCGATAAGATTCACGTGTAATCCTGGCATCGGACTAGTCATCCTTGCGCTAGCTCTATTTCTGGAGAATCCTTGACGAAAGCTGAAGACGTTAGATCGTCGTACTGGAGCAGGTGCCACATCACCAAATTCAGGATTTTTTCTGATCTCCCTCTGGTTAGGTGTAGCTTTCCGGTGTCTTCTGGACGTAACGCTCATCATGTCAAAGTTATCAGGATCAATTGTGGGCAAAGTATTACTATCGACTGGTTCAAAGTAATCATCATCATCGTCTTCGTCGAAGCCTCCATTCCGTACCGAAGGTGTAGGTGGCCCACGTCGAGGTCCCCTAGCAGGATTCCCGTTAATCTTTAAGCGCATTTCTTGCTCGCGGAGAGCTAATTCTCGCTGTCGCAATGCTAGTTCTCGTTCTCGCAAGGCAAGATCTGATACATCGACACCGTAGGCTGACTCCCCAGATTCTGGTATATCATCGTATAATACTAAATGACTGAATTCTTCGAGATCATTTACCTCGAGGGATCCTCTCCTCGAAAGGTTTCGTTGAGGCGGGTGTGTGTTTGAAGCACTCATAGATCTTCCATATCCGTTTTGCGGTACACTGTTCATGCTACTCAGTGTAGGGCCTCTACGGACCATCCCTGGCGGAGGTCCGTTCATGGATGAGGCCCTACCTCTTCCTCTTCCAGCCGTAGGAGGGCCAGATGGTGGCATTATGACTGGTAAAGGTGTTGAACAGCTAGGTGGACCCGATGATTGACAATTGACTGGCGTCCCGTTCATGAGTCGTGGTGGTGGCACAGATGATCTTACACCGATCGTGTTTCCAGACGAAGTTACTGTGGGAAAATCTTTCCTCTGTTGATTTACAATGTTCAAATGGTGCAAGATGGCATACAAAGTCTCTATCCGGGGCACCCGTATGTTATTGCTCTGTGCAAGCTTTATCGGCGATCCGAGATACGTTTCCACTTCGAGCGGTCTTTTGGCTATAAAGTCTTGGTACATGATGCTATTCGAATCAATAGGGCGGAGCATTTCCTCAATAGTCTTTTCTTTGAAATCTGTTGGGAAGCTGCAGCCTTGAGCTTTAGCTATTGACAATAGTTCGTCTATGACATCGGAAATCATTACTCTCACGCCAATTTTTTCTACTAGAACAGCGTGAGAAGGCGTTTCAAATATCACACTCATGGGGTGAAAAGCAATAGGACTTAGTTCGTTAGCAAAGACCTAAACTTGTGACAGATTCACCAACCCTATCATTCTCTCGTATTGCTGCTGTCGAATGTTACTGGAGACGTGGCAATTAACCTGACCACTACTTAGGGTCATTGCTAATGCGTTGGCCATATCACTCTGAGTCGAGCTCGGAATAGTTGAACTACTATTTGCTGGTCCAACCCAGATATCAGTTGACCCCTTGTGTTCGAATTCACCCGCGCCTAACTGTGTTATTTCGGCGCCAGAAACTAGGGATAATACGACATTTCCTGGGAACCGTTTTTCCAACTGTGCCTCTACCCCTAGAGTGTGCGTGGTGTTGAGAAGAATGCAAGTGTGCTGAGGAGTGACGACGGACTCTATTATTGATGCTAAATCGTATACATCCGGCAAAGCTTTTACACAGAGTAGAACGTAGTCAAATGCACCTTTCTTCCTATTGGCTGCTTCTTCAGGTGCTCTCACAACTGTGTTCTTTGTTAGAATAAACACTTACTGCATTAAATTAGACAATCATACCATGTCGAGGTTTGAACCTTTCATTTCCAAAAGAGGTTGATCTAAGATAAAGGGTTAAGACCTCGCATAAACTCTTCAATAGACAAGATCATACTTGAATGATAATCCGTACTGAGATACAACGTCAAACCCTGACTTCCAAACTAACGTCACATCACAAGCATTCGTAGCCTGAAGTCGCCAAGATAAAAATGCCGATACTGCGTTCCCGCCAACTACACATACATCAATTAGATCGAGGTTCATAATGAAAATACGGTGTCATGTGCAATCGTAAATTGAAGAGTAATCGATGAAAGCGCGCCATAAATAGAGCCACCTTGCTAAATAAGAAAGTCGGTGCCGCACTAAAGGAGTCGAAACATGAATTTGAACCACCTTGGATTGTGGGTACGCACCTGAAAGAACTCTCAGCCGCGTAGGAGACGGCACCATTATGCTGGTCTATCGTGTAAGTGTGAGTGAGCAAGCAATCTTTGTCGCACGGTTGAGATTTAAACTTTATCAATCTGATGCCGTGAAGACGATGGCCTTGCCCGCTCCTGTATTGTATTACTAAATGAGTTGTGAAAGGACGTAACGAGCGTGGAGCTTACGGGGGTAGCTGTCGATCTTGAGTAGCTCCAAGGGGGCAGGTTCAGTATGTTTTCAAAAAAAAGCGTCGCCCGAACGTTGATGATCGAGAATTTGGGCAGGGAGGTTTCTTGAGTTAAGGTAAACTCGCGTATTGGGCCGCAGGCAGACTTGCAGGTTGACCAGGCCCACCAGAATTGGATGGGCAGTCTGGATTGGCTGAGTTTAGGATGAAGGATGAGGAAAGTTGAGAAGGGCTGAGCGCAAGTTCGCGAACCTTAGCTTTCCAGACGGGCGACTCAGACCCTAGCCTGTCCAATACCACTCGGGGCTTGGGGTGGAAAATGATTTCTGGGGAGGGGAGGGGGCGAGAGTAGACGGGGGGACGAAGGTCCACTGTCGGGTCGTCTATAATGTCAATGGCCAACGAGATGCCTCCTGTCTGTAAAGAGTGAAAGATAAGTTAGTTGGTGTATAATGTTTTGAGAACCTGGTCTCGAGGTGTACTCACTATCGCTTTTCCTTACAATAGAAGGGGGAAAGGCCGTTACGATGCATTAAGTGGTGGAGGTGGTAGTGCAAGCAGGCTCAACACTTTCGGACGTCGGCGAGTGGTGGCTGATGGCTTATGGGTAACGCCAAATCCATTCAAAAAAGGGCCATGCAGGTTACGCAAGCTGTTGAGACGAGAAACTCTAGTAAAGACTGTATTGATGAGTTCCAATGTATGATAAAGGGTGACATGGACGGGCCATGCGGAGGGAAAGCGGGAAGAGGGATGAGAAGCGAAAGGGCGGACTCATCGTGGATACCCTTTTCGACATAACAGGCACAAGGGTTTCTAAATGAGGAAGGAAGAGCGCTATGCGTGTCATTGCACAAACCTGACCATCCGAGGAGTGCGAGGGTGCCGACGAATATTTGCAAACAGAGCTGTCTGTCTGGAGCAGAGTTATTTTCGGCGTGCGCCCATTGCTCGCACACCGGCATCCTAAACAATAACCAATTTACATGAATCGAAATGAACCAAATTACTCATCAACATAATGTGATTCATTTTCCCATTTCGAAAAATCAGCCGATATACTCAAACACCCAAACTCACAGTACACTTGACGTTTATCTTATACCTTTAAGCACTCTTGTCAATGTTGCCATTCAGGCTACGTCTAGTAATGCTTGGCTCAGGCTTTTCAAATTTCTATCTAATGTGCCAACGTACAACTATGTTTTGCGCTTACATCTAATGCTACAATGAAATGAATCCTACCGGCATTCAAACCCTCGCATATACTTAATTTATTCTCTATCTCAAATTGATCTTATAGTTCACGTCACTTCAGATAAACATCCAATGCTCTTGGGATCGATTAAAGAAACCACCAAACTGACGCCGTGTTCAAGTGGGTAACAATGTAATGCCATTGCATGATTTACAAGTGTTGAGCCCAGATTTTCTTCCGTGGTGAAAGAGGGTACCGTTTTCCCAGTGTCATTCAAATCGTGGCTCAAATTTAGTAATACCCCATTCGGTCGGAACAAAAATAAAATAGAGCAATGATACGTGTCGATCTTGATAATCTGTCCTATCGTGCGTCACAGGGCAATTAGTTCATTTGCCTTTGCCCCCCCCCACAGCCTTCTCCACGCCGTTTATCCCAAAACACAGTCCCTGATGCAAGCCATGATCGCGTTGAATTTTTGTCTTGGTTTCCCCATGTGTTTGGAACCTTTGTATACCCTCCATCGTACGTCTCACAGGTTATACCTCGTGAAGGCGAGTGTCTGGCTTTAGCGTGTAGTGTTAGATTGGTAAACATGCTGTAGATCATCTTACAGCCGAGGCCTGCTTGAACAAACCCCGAGCTTGCATAAGCATTATCATTGTGAATCGAGTCCCAATAAAGAACCTTGATAAAATAATCATTTGTCATGGGAATGTGGTTTAGAAAGAGATTTACATGAATCGGAATCATCGATATCAGTCAAAAGGACTGTCGTACTACACCTTCGCCAGTATTCCGAGAACTCACTATCGATCCGAAGAATAATATTAGGATTTCTTCGGGAATATGCGTTACTACACGGTGGTTGATTCTCACCACTTAATGAATATTTTTACGCTATGAATACAAGAAAAACAAATGTGGTCCGCACAATTACAGCGGAGATTGTCACCCTCCAGATGCAAGAAAGGTAGTTCTCAGTTTAAAATAGGGCCGAGTCGTAATCGGACATATAGTTACCGGAGGGACCGTGATTTTTACATCCCAGATTTGGTCATGGAAGCAAGCTTTGTGTGGTTCGTCTTTCTAATACTAACTAGGGCCCTTGACTGTAATTTTGATTAGGTTCCGGAAGGTTGCTTTTAAAATATATCACGTGGTTCTCAAGATCCTGGCAAAAGTAACATGGCGTGTTTTAGCTTGATTTCTGTACTGGATTGCCGTCGTCATCTTTAATTCGACCACCACCTGAGATAATATAAAAACTTGTGGCCCATGCTGTTAATGAAAATCTGTCAGTAAGATTTAATATGCCATACGCATAGTCAAGGAGATCAACAAACTATCCGCTCTTGTCTTGTGAAAGACATTCAGTTAAAATCGGACTTCTGACTGTGAAAGGTAGGAACACATCCAGACTCGCATCAACCCCACGGACTTTGTAGGAAATGAGTGATAATTAAAACAGAGGATAGATGGGCAGAAAGGTTGCATTTTGGAACCTTAGCGTATTCGAGACATCTTGTGTTTTATCAGATGGTCTTGTGGCTGAGTCGAGACCGGTTGAGCCTGAGAGATTTATGTTTTTGATCGATGAGAAGTTGTATAATACAATAAAATGCTTCCAAATAAGCGATAATTTCGTAATATATGCCACGTCCATTTGATACCCTACATTTCATAGCCTGACCCGGGTAAATTAATGATCCTCCATCCTTCGAGCTGGGACGCATTCCTACGTTACTTAATTGTAACTTCAAGCACCAGGAACTCATTACACTGCGAATATAATCAAAGTCTGGAACCTTGAAATGATGCAACCGATCAATTAGTTATTATTTTTCATTAAAATTAGCATGTGTTCAGTACGAGTGTGCATTTCAATATGATTGATTCTCAAAAGCGTTGCACACCGCGACGCGATCTGTGCAAAATATAATCACGTGCAAATGTCTGATTTGGGACAGGATTCACTAGAGCCGGGGCCTTAGACTTGGGCTATTGTTCGAGATGACGCACAGAGTAAGTACAGGGCTAAGATGGGCGCGCTTGGAGAAGACCATTCTGAGACTAGAGAGACTAGGGTAATACTTCCCTGGCTTTCGGGCAAAAGGGGAGCTGGCCGTTGGTCTAGTAGACTAGAGCCTACTTTAGCAGGAACCACATGGGATGAATTGGTAGCCGAGGTTATGCTTGTACAATCATAGCTACTAACATGCATCCACGCTGTGGTGCTATGCAAGGCAGAATGCCATATGTCGGTCACGCCTCCACGTAACACTTCTGCCCTCCACCTGCTCTATCAATCCTCACCCAACACGTCTTCAAAAATTTGAAGATCTTGTCGATAACAATTCCTAAATAGATGAAATCCGATCAACGAACCAGCTGATCGGCAGAGATGAGTATCGAGGCACATAAATTAATTAGACAGATATGGGAGTTAAATGATATTAAATCGACTTCAGGTGTATTTTGTATCAGCAGCAGAAGCTTATATGGCCATTCAGAATCGGTGCGATGGAAGTCAGATTGTAGAATATAAATTGAGCCTGGTCCCGTGCATCGGAAAATCCCTTCATATATATTAGATAATGACTGTTTACTAAATTTATTCGTGCCAGGCCAGAATATGTCTGTGACCTTTGATCTCAACTGGGGTGGCACAGTTCAAGTCAATCTCCAGTTTCGACTGCCTGACACAACGGGTGATCGAGATGTTAGGGCATCTTAATCTAGTAGGTCTTGTTCCCAATGACACTATCAAGCATCTTCCGACTACATCCTGGACCTCTGCCTCAACACCTTGTGTGCAAGTGACAGGTATTTTAGACACCCTACTTGCCTCCTACACCAAGCCTGCTCATGCAAATCAAATCAGAGGGTCGCGAGATCGTGATCGAGCACTGTAAAATTTGCACCAGGCTTCTCTCGTCTCAAAACAAGAGGATTAACATGTTATCTGGAATGAATTAGCGTGGTTAGCCAAGATAACAAATTACAGAATCACCTTCTTTCAAGGAAGCACCAATTTGGCGTAGCTTTTTTATCTTCAGTTGCGAGTAATTCCGTAGACAAATCTCATCTGAAGATTATCAAGCCCAAAATTTCGCCCATAATTTTGCCAAGTGTTTCTGATGAAAGCTTGTAGTTTTTTTTTTAGTCCGTCAAGCATGAGAAATGAAATGGAGCTTGTGTTCACACTAAGAATCCTGCAAAGTTCTTCAAGCCCAAATTGTTTCTAATACGAGCTAATATAAGAATCATGAGTGATAGATATTCGAAGGTTTATCACTTGAAGGTGTGTTAGCTGAGCGCAAAGTATGCGAGGGAGCTTCCAAGGATGTTTCTAAGGACCGACTTGTTGCGCAAGTTGTCTTTTACCTAACGCCGTTCTCCTTATGGGGCAGGCATTGCCGTGACTGTGACTCGAGGGTAAGGCGTTGATGGTAATATTTGCTACGAGCATAATCCCTAAACAAAAGACATTGATAGCCCCCCCTGATAATCGTCAGTAGGCGTTGACACGAGCGGGGCGATCTTGTCATACAAAAGCTTTCTGCTTTCTCATATTCGTGGCTGTCAAGACGGGTAGTGCCATGACGCGAAGAAGCGCGATAATATGGGGAATGAAAG